CTGGCACTTCTTTGATTAATGTCCTCACTGCCAGCCTGGACTACCACCAGTGGATAATAGTCTGAGGGCTGAATTAACTCAGGAAGTCTCTTACTAATATCCCTCACCCTGGCCCCAGGAAGGCAGCATACTTCTCTCTGGGATGGGTCTGGGCGACATATAGGGCCCTCAGTTCCCCTCAGAAGGGAGCCACCGACTACAACTACCCTTCTTTTTTTTTTCATACCTGTGGTTGTAATCCGTCTTTTAGACAGGGCCGAACCACGATGCTCTCCAGAGAGATCTTCTTGGCTGTCCTCTACATGACTGTCTGGGTCCAGGGTCTCATATCTATTCTTCAAGGGGACCCTGGGGGGTGATGGGGGTTGAGAGAGAGTTCTTTTACCTCTCCCATTAGGGACCTGTTTCCATTTTCCCCTATCAATTTGGTCTGCTCCATCTGCCTAAGGGCAGGAGGGGCAGGGCTTGGCTGTCTCTTGTTGGACTTCCTTAGGGTTCAAAAGGGTTTGACTCCACCAGTCAATTTCCTTTTCACTTTCCCTAACGCACCTTAATCTCTCTACCTCTTCCTTAAGTTCTGCTACAAGGCACAGCAAGTCACTCACTTGCTCACATCGTACACAGCTACCTCCTACACCATCTTCCGGTACCAACGCCAGGCTTAGACACTCAGCACACCCAAAGACCTGGGTGGCTGCATCCTTCTTCGAGGGGAGTGTCTGAGCACACACACTCCTAGTATTAACAGCAGTAACAGCTTTTGTTTTTCTGGAAACCATTGTTAGCTTTAAAAAGCACACTCACCTATGAGAAGTGGGAGCTGGTTGTGCCCTGCCTGCTTAAAAAGCCTTGAAATTGCTGTGCCACAGTCCCGTTAGTCTGATCCTGTGGGGTGCGTGAGCTACCTTCGCTCACGCTCCTGGAGGCTCTTATGAAGCTTCCCCTAGCACTTGCCAACGAGCCTGACCCACCCCTCACTCACCTTAATCGCACCTGAGGAGGAATCAGGCCTGGGAAAGCCTGGCCAAGCCTGGGCAGCAAGCGACCAAGTAGCTCTCCTGGAGGCCCTTATGTAGCCTCCCCTAGCACTTGCCAACGAGCCTGACCCACCCCTCACTCACCTTAATCGCACCTGAGGAGGAATAAGCCTGGGAAAGGCTGGCCAAGCCTGGGCAGCAAGTGACCAAGTAGCTCTCCTGGAGGCCCTTATGTAGCCTCCCCTAGCACTTGCCAACGAGCCTGACCCACCCTTCACTCACCTTAATCGGATCTGAGAAAGAATCAGGCCTGGGAAAGCCTTGCTAAGCCTGGGAAAGCCTGGGCAGCAAGTGACCAAGTAGCTCTCCTGGAGGCTCTTATGTAGCCTCTCCTAGCACTTGCTAACGAGCCTGACCCACCCCTCCCTCACCTTAATCGGATCTGAGGAGGAATCAGGCCTGGTAAAGTCTGGCAAAGCCTGGCCAAGCCTGGGAAAGCCTGGGCAGCAAGTGTCCGAGTAGCTCTCCTGGAGGCTCTTACGTAGCCTCCCCTAGCACTTGCTAACGAACCTGACCCACCCCTCACTCACCTTAATCGGACCTCAGGAGGAATCAGGCCTGGGAAAGCCTGGCCAAGCCTGGGAAAAGCCTGGGCAGCAAGCGACCAAGTAGCTCTCCTGGAGGCTCTTATGTAAGAAATTTACTTTCAAAGAATCCTTGAGAAATTATTGCTGGGGAAGAATTTAAAACACTTTTGGTAACATAACAAAAGCAACTGATCTGCAGATTGGCCAGTTGCTAGAAATTACCCGTGTATTGTGGAGATTTTAGAAAGGAAGGAGTTTAAATTAGAGGACAGAGTTTTGAAACTACTTTCAGTTTTGAATATACATCAACTAAGGACTTGAGAAATATTAGTTTACAAGTGAAGATTGTTTTGTAGTTGCATTTCAGATGCAGCACTGAGAAAGATTTGGAATCAACTCTTAATTCTGTCTTGGGTTCAAAGATAAACAAGGAGTAATAACTTAATAAAATTACAAATAAATTGCATCACAGAAAAAAAGATGGGTGATGTTGAAGGGTGTCATGGTTCAGGTTTTAGCAAGGAATTTTTTTTTCTTTCCCTTCCCCCTGCCTTGTGTGCCCTGTGTATAGGCCATCAGGTAGCTATCAGGTGAACAAAAGAATCAGCCCCTCCACTAATTGCCCAGAGATTAGTCTCCTAGGAAACGGGCAGATGAAGGAGCTAAAGTTTACTTTTTTCTCTCGTCTCCGAGGCAACAGGGGGAGGAGGAATTTTGGTGGGCTGGGGGTGTGACTGGGGCTGGTGTGTGTGCCGGTGGGCTGGGGCTGGGGCCAGCAGGACACGTCATCGGAGGAGAAGTTTGCTGCTGTCTTTCTTTGCCCTGAGCCATTGCCAGCTGCAGTTTTTGCCTGAAGTGAATTCTAACCAGCTGAAGATTGTGAGTTTTCTTCCATTGGGAGAACTTTCTGTTTTATTGCTGTTAATTTTTTTCCTTTCCCTCCCCCCCTCCCCCCCATTCCCTCTCTCCTTTCCCAATGTGGGAAGGGAAGGGGAATCAAGGTTTTTTTGGTTTTTTCTCCAACATACCGTGAAGGGTCTTGTTTTTCCCCCCCCAATCCCACGTGGCGGCGACCAGGGATCTCACAGTGCCGCCTAGTGATGAGCACCAGACATTACAAGTCCTGCACCTCCAGTGATCCAACAGCGTCACCTGGTGACTACTATAGGGCACTACAAGTTCTGCATCTCCAGTGACCCAACAGCGCCACCTGGTGAATGGTACAAGACATTACAAGTTTTGCATCTCCAGTGACCCGACGGCGCCCTCTGCTGACTGTGGTTGGAATTGCACCAAAGGGAGCAAAAATTTAACTTACTTTTCCTTTTGCCAGTTTATCGGTTTGTTCTTGAAGGGGATTATTGGTGGGTATAGGAGTGTTGTTTGGTTGTTTTACTTGGGTTTTTTTGTGTTTTAGTTAATACACACATACCTTTTAATAAAGGACTGTTATTTTCCCTTTTCCATAATTAGTTCTTTTCCTTCAATCGGAGCCTTTTAATTTTGGATTTATAATTGCTTAGCGAAAAAAGTTTGGGTCTTTTCTCCTAACTCACCCTCAGCAAAAGACCCTTGTCTCATTTAAACTGGGACAAAGGGTCATTTACTCAATCTCTTCTTTAAGTACAAGATTGTTATGCTATAATGGCTTGAAATGATTTAAAATATGAGGTCTCTTCAAAGTATTTATTGGTCCCTCACGTTCCTTAGATAGTTAAACTTTCTTAGTCTGAATTGTTCAGATTATGTATATTAGCTATTATGCTTACATTAAGGTTTATTTTTTTCCTTTCTGTAACTGAGGTGAACTGGAAATGTTTCTACTTTACCTGAATATGGAACACACAGATATTTCAGAACATCCTTTATTTGATGCATCTGGCAGTTAGAGAAAGGCCAGTTTGCATAAAGAGAACCTTAGCAAGACAACAATACCAATAGAGCCATAGTCAAATGAAAGTGTGGAATGGACCCAGTGCTAAATGCATATAAAGAAAGTGTTGAAAAACTTCTAGGCTTCCAGCTTCACTGACTCTAGTATGGAACATGCTTCTTTATACTCTTCTGCTTCTTGCAATTCTTTTTCATTTTCCTGGAATTAAAAACAAAACTTTTGAGCACTTTGAAAATAATGGCCATGAGATTAAATTTAAGAAGGAAACTATGAAAGAATCATTATTGAAAACACTAATTTTACATAATTCAACGCACAGGCAATTTACTTTGTCCTCCTTTATTTTAAGGATAATGGCTGTCATGTGTGAATATATTTGACCTATGCATACCTTTATTTTGTTAAATAAATATTTAAAACCAAAGAAAGCATAACTGGAACCAGCAACAGAACTTAGAACAATAGTACCATTAAGAAAAAAGCTTAAGCAGAAGTTGACAATTGAAAAAACATATTACTACATAGTTGATTTTAAGCATTGAAGGTGAGCTAAGAACAGAAAGCAACCTCTAAAGACTACCAAATTCTTAATAAGAATGGTAACTCCCCACATTCCATGTTTTAACTCTCTAAAGCACAGTGTATGGATCAATAGCATCACTTCTGAATGCTGCTGAAATCTAGACCAACTAACTGTCAAGTAACTAGTTGAATGGCAAAAGGACCCTAAATCCTGTCAGGTACTGAGAACTTATTTTGGAAAACAGTAGAGGGATGCCACCCAAGGGCAAGATGCCTTGACTTTTCCTTTGAAAAGGGTTTTGCATTTTAGCTGTCATATGTGTCTGAGGTTTAATTTATGGTATGTATTTTTTGCCTCACTATAGCATTTAAATGTGTAGCAGAATTCTTATAAATTGCATAAGCAGTACTCAGTAAGGATTCAGCTGTCTTGTTTCTTGTCCATAGTGGTAAACAAAGTATTTTGACAAATTCAGTCCACTACAAGCATATTATATACATCTACATGATCTACAAAGACTACCTAAAGCAAGTGAATTATTTTTTCTGATCATGTAACTATCACAGGAATTCAGAGTCCATTTTAACCATTCAGTATTTAAGTGTATGTTGAGTGTGCATTCCCTTAAAGACAGCTTCTAGTATTCTAATACACATACACTGAAGACCAAGTCTTTAAAGACAGTTATCTAAAATGAAATATTGGTATGTTATAGGATGCTAGTCTTGGGATCTATAAGAAGTAATTCTTCAATCCTGTTCTAATATGCTGCAATTGCACTACAGACAAGCATGTTTATCCAAATTCATCACAGAAAAGCAACATTTCTTGGTCAGTGGATTTTGGTGCTATACTTACTAGTAGTTGAGTAAGATCTGCATGTGCAACTTCTAATCTACGCTGGCAGTCTGGAATCATCATTCGTGACTCTTGTAAAATCTCAATCTGTGAAAATTAGAAGGCAATGAAATGAGAGTGTATTCCAGATAGGAATGTTAATTTTTAAGATGTCCATTCTGAAAAAACAGTAGTCCAGTCATCATCTAGGAACTTCAGAACAGTGGTACCTATTTTCTGAATAGGCTGTTTTATTAAAAGACACACTTAGCAAAATTACTTAAATTACTCTGTTAATTTACAGGACACTTCCATTTACTTTGTGCTTAATTAAAGTATTAAGTGCAAAAGAGTATTTAGAATATTTTTTTTTTACTTAGAAAAAGAGTACTGCCTGGTAATCTTTCCATACATTTGTTAAAAAGGGTTATTTAAACCAAACTTTCTCCTGCTGTTGTGAAGCAACTTCATCTAAAAAGGGATCACCTGATTATATAAATATCTCCTACATCTTTTGGATAATAAAACCAGTGTTCAGATAATACCATGTAAAGATAATTACTCCATGAAAAAAAGTTACTGAGTTAATGATCACATTGTGTGTGCACTGTAGGAAGTTCTGACTGAAAAGTAAGGAAAAATGAAAAGCAAAGACCAGCAGGCTCATATTTTGATGCTTTTCATGAATAAAAAGTTATTACTTATCCTTGTGCTTCATTATAGGAGAAAGATTATTCTCACCACACACTTTTGAACAAAATTACTAAACTGACACATCCTGCTGCCTCCTACAGAAAAACTCAGATTTATATGGAGGAACATTTATTTCATGGAACATTTCTGGATCTGAACTCCATTCACTAAGAAGAAAAGGTGTGCAGAGTTATTCAGTAATGTTAAATCTATTTAGAACTGATAATAGGTTATATATATATATATATATATATAGCATCTCTGTCCAAACTCCAGCTGTGTCAGAACAAAGTGAAACATCTAGAGTTTATCCTAAGGGAATGGCAGCAAGTAATAGATCCAGAAAGAATATAAGCTATAATAAAACTTCTGCATCCAATTACAAAGAAACAGTTGCAAGGATTCCTCAGAGTGCTAACATAGAATTTACGACCTCACCAGAGACCAGTTGTGTACTACTCCATGCAACTAGATGTGGTTGCCGCAGGAGCACCAGTCTGTTTTAAATCAGTGTTAGTGGTGGCATGATATTAGAAAGAAGTCATCCTCTTATTCTGGGACCCCCTGTAACAGTTTATGTCCCACACGATGTGGAAATATTGTTGAAGCACTTTGCAACTGTTGTGGTTTTAGTTAGCTCTCGTAGCCAGGTGAAGAACTTTCTCCCTTCCCCCCTGGATGTCAAGATAAGCACTTCAGATTACAAAAGACCTAGCCCCCATGGCTGATGGCCGGACATTAGTCTCCTAGGAGACAAGGCAGATAAGGACTTGCACTTTACTTTTTTCTCTTGTCTCCTGGGCAACGAAGTGGGAGGAGTTCGAGGGGGGCTACTGTGTGGTTGGCACACAGGCTGGGAGGAGAGTCTGGTGTGTGCCGGTGGGGTTTGGGACCTGCTGTGAGCTGCAGACACTGCCTGGTTCTTTTCTTTCCTGTCAGAGGGGAGTTTGCTGCTGCTCTCTGCTTAGATGTTGCTGGCTGCAGACCCTGCTTAAAGTGAACCCTAACCAGCTGAAGTTCGTGAGTTTTCTTCCATTGGGAGAACTTTCTGTTTTATTGCTGTTTTTTTTCTTCCCCCTCCCCCCCCCCTTTTTTTTTCCAGTGTGGGAAGGGAAGGGGAATCGAGTTTTTTTGTTTGTTTTTTCTCTGATATACCCTGGGGAGTGTTGCTTTTTCCCCTTCCCCCAACCCACATGGCGGCAACCAAGGATCTCACAGAGCCGCCTTGTGACGGGCACTGGACATTACAAGTTCTGCTCCTCCAGTGACCCAACAGCGCCACCTGGTGAATGGTATAGGACATTACAAGTTTTGCATCTCCAGCGACCCCACAGCGCCCCCTGCTGACTGTGGCTGGAACTCCACCAAAGGGTGCAAAAAATTGAACTATTTAATTTTCTTTTTGCCGGTTTATCGGTTTTGTTCTTGAAGGGGATTATTGGTGGGTATAGGGGTATTGCTTGGTTGTTTTACTTGGGGTTTTTTTGTGTTCCTTTTAATACTCACATACCTTTAATAAAGGGCTGTTATTTTCCCTTTTCCATAATTTGTTTTCCTTCAATCGGAGCCTCTTAATTTTGGATTTATAATTGGTTAGAAAAAGAAGTTTGGGTCTTTTTCTCCTAATACATCCTCATCAAAAGACCCTTGTCTCATTTAAACTGGGACAGGAACTCAAACCTTATCACCACAATGAGCACACAGAGACTAACTGTTCTTTCTATTGTCAGATAATGTAACTTTAAAATTCCAGCATCCCTTAATGCCTTTGCCTGATGATAGGGAAATACATCACTAGGGTGAGCACTTCAAGTAAACTGGAAGTAGATTTAATTGATGTTCCTTTTCAGAATCCATGTCTAACTTTGTTTATAAATGGCTCATCTTACTACCTGCATGGAGAACAATGAATGGGATACACTGTGGACAGCCAAGGGCAAGTAATAGAAGCTGGACCTCTCCCACCAACGAGTGAACAAGGAGCAGAACTGGTAGCTTTAACACACGCAGCACATCTGGGAAAAGGTAAATGGGTCAATATATATACAGGTTCTCAGTATGCCTTTGGGGTATGTCATGCCACTGAAATGTTATGGAAAGAATAAGTATTTATCCCATCATCAGGAAAGAAAGTATTTAACGGAGAAGAAATATATAACTCACTAAAATCAATCCAACTACCTCAAGAAATTGCTGTCATACACTGCCCAGCTCATACCAAGGACACTGCAGAAATCAGTAGAGGGAATGACTTAATTGATGCTGCTGTGAAGTCTGCAGACCTAAAAAATTTGAATGTATGGTTACAATTCCAGCAATCAACCAAAGTGAATGGTCAAATTTAACAGACCTTAAAACCATGTATTCAGCAGAAGAAAAAGAACAATGGAGAAAATAGGAAGCAAACTAAGAATCACCAGTAACTACCCTACTTGTCAAAAGATCTCAAGTATCAGGCCGAACTCAGAGTTGGGGAGATGACCATGGGCTTATTTCTCATTTCAACAATTACAAATAGATTACACACATATGCCTTATACTAGCTGATACAAACATTTGCTTGTAATAGTAGATCAACTGACAGGCTGGGTGGAAGCCTTCCCCTCAAGAAAAGTTGACACTGGGGGTATAGTAAAGGCTTTATGGAAGGAAATTATACCTAGATATTGGGTGCCAGAATCAATGGAGTCAGACAGGAATACTCATTTACAGCAAATATAATCAATCAACTTTACAAATCACTAGGAATAGAGAGAAATTTACACACCCACTATCTTCCAGAATCTTTGGGATAAGTGTGAAGGATGAACAGAACATTAAAGGAAAAGATAACAAAAGTATAGAATCACAGAATCGTTAAGGTTGGAAAAGACGTCCTAATATCATCGAGTCAAACCATTAACCTAACAGTCACAGGTCCACCCCTAAACCATGTTCACCTCATCTACATGTTTTCTGAACACTTCCAGGGACAGTGATTCCAGCATTTCCATGGGTCATCTATTCCAATCCTTGATCACCCTTTTAGTGAAGAAATTTTTCCTAATATCAAATCTAAACCTCCCCTGGCACAAACTGAGGCCATTTCTCTTGTTCATTGTTACCCCCTGAGCCTCCTTTTCTCCAGGCTAAACAACCCCAGTTCCCCAACAACTCCTCATAAGACTTGTGCTCCAGAACCTTCACCACCTTCATTGCCCTTCTATGAACATGCCATAGCACCTCAATGTCTTTCTTGTAGTGAGGGGCCCAAACCTGAACACAGGATTTGAGGTGCTGCCTCACCAGTGCTGAGTACAGGGGGAATTATCACTTCCCTAGTCCTACTGGCCACACCATTTTTGATACAAGCCAGGATACTGTTAGCCTTCTTGGCTACCTGGGCACACTGCTGGCTCATATTCAGCCAACTGTTGACCAATATTCCTACATCCCTTTCTGTCAGACAGCCTTCCCGCCACTCTTCTCCAAGCCTGTAGCACAACACGTCATTGTTGTGACTCAAGTACAGGACCCAGCACTTTGCCTTGTTGAACCTTATACAATCGGTCTATCGCGAGTGGGGGTTTGGACCCGCGACAGACCCAGAGGCACATCTTGTATAGGAAATAGGCACACGGAGGGTGACCCACAAAATGGCATTTATTAAAACAAGATGTCAGTTTAAATACAGGGGAATACAGAAGGTTGGAGAATAAAGGTGGGTTTCTTGCTGGGAAACATCGAATCCTAAGTGTCAGTGATAAGGGAACTTGGAGGGATAGGTTGCGGGGAATATGTCTGGTCACACAGGGGGAAGGGAGAGCTAGGGAGGAATGGTCTGGGGGCCCAGGAGAGGGGAATTCTGTGGAGGCTGTGAGTCTACTTCTTATCGCTGGGCTTCAGGCACATCCTGCAGCTGCAGTTGTCAAAACACTCCTAGATAGATCTCTTCCTCTGAACCTTCCTTGCATCTCTTTTGCATCTCTCTCTCTTTGTAGGCTTCTGCTGGTCCACCTCTGACATCAGTCCATCAATATAGCCTGCCTAGATCCCTCTGCAGAGCCTTCCTATTCTCAAGCAGGTCAACACTTCCAACCAACTTGGTGTTGTCTGCAAACTTACTGAGGGTACACTCGATCCCATCATCAAGATCATTGATAAAGAAATTAAGCAGAACTGGTCCTAATACTGACCCCTGAGGAACCCCACTTGTCACCAACCTCCATCTGGATGTATCTCCATTCACCACTGCTCTCTGGGCCTGGACATCCAGCCAATTTTTTACCTGGGGAAGAGTACACACGCTCAAGCCATGAGCATCCAGTTTCTCCAGGAGAATGCTGTGGGAGACAGCGTCAAATGCTTTACTAAAGTCCAGGTAGCCTTTCTCTCATCCACTGTGCAGGTCACCCTGTCATAGAAGGAGATCAAGT